AACTCAGAATGCTAAGGTTACATTAGTATACCAGGCACTCCCAATGTATATTGCATTTTGCTAAACAATTGAGCACTAGATCAAAGACCAAATTCAATAAGCAAGCACTTCAGGTAACAGTCAATCAAATGAACAAAAATTCTTTCTTAATACTTTAAGATCATGTATCCATTTGTAATTTATAGATATTACATACACACCCAGTTTACGTGTATAGTGTGTGTGTTTCTTTTAGACAAGGTCTTGCTATGCAGTTCAGGCTGACCTTGAACTTACTTTGTAGCCCAGGCTGGCTGGTCTCAAACTCCTAGAGATCTTCCTGCCTCAGTCCCCAGAGTGCTGGGGTTGCAGGCATGTGCTACCAGGCCTGGCCTATCTGTAACATTTTGATTTTTCCATAGTGTTGTATACTTACATAAATACTGTCTCAGGCAAAACAAAAATTATTTCCACTATCCATCCCCCAAATTTTACTTTCTTGATGGATCCAGGAATTGAACTCAGACCCTTGTGCTTCCCAGGGAAGTGCTTCTTCTACTGAGCCATCTCCCCGGCCACTCCCTCAATAATTTTTTTTGTTTTTTGGTGTGTGTGTGTTCAGGGAAGGGTCTACAGGGTGTTCAGGGTCTCACTAGTAGATCAGACTTGTAGTGATCCGCCTGTTTACAGTCTCCCAATAGCTGGAATTACAGGCGCACCACCACACCCAGTCTCAATCACTGACAGCAGGCCCAAGGATGGAACCCCCAGCCCCTGCACCTGCTTGTAGGAACTTTAATCTGCTGAGCTCTTTGGCTCACCCTGAATTTCAAATGTTTAGAATTTTTCTATTTATTTCTATCCTTGGATCGTGTGGCCTGAAGTTTAATGTCCTTTGTCTTAATCTTTGTGCTAACAGTAGCCCAGGGCCAATCGAATGTCTCGGGTTAAGGTACTCTGGGAATGTTTTCTGTTCGTGACTCTAACACAGTGCTTTTTTAACTGCTTGGTGTTTCCTCACCAGGTGTCCCCAGCACAAAACCAGTCAGTGACCACTAAAGAACTGTACATTGGAATCCTCGTGTGTAGCTTGGTCTTGCTCACTATTTTGGTTGTCATCTTAATCAGAAGTAAGTCATTTCAAGATTGTCAGTAAGGGACTAGAGCAAGGGGCCCGCATTCATGTACTGTAACTCCATGTGACAGGTTATTTGGGTTCTGTGTTACTTCTCGTGCCCTCAGTCCCTCATCTTTCAGTGCACGTGGTAGGATCTTTTTCTAAGGGCTGTGTGCATGCACACGAAGCACTAAGGATGGATTCCAGCGTGTGGGGTGGTGTGCACAGCAGTCCTGAATAGTTGCTGTTGTTTTAGAAAAGATCTTTGTGCC